GTGGTTGTGGTGGTGGTCGTTGTGGTAGTGGTAGTGGTCGTGGTCGTTGTGATAGGGACAGTGGTAGGTATGAGAGGCTTTACAGCTCCGGGGGTGCATTGTACAAACTCCCCACAAACCTCAGTAGGTTCACTCACAGGTCTCTCAGTGTCTCAACCAAAAGGCATAACATGCCTTCTTTGCTCGGACAAACGTGAGCGTGTTGGAAAATAAGAAACCCAATGTAAAACACCATGCAAGTTCGGAAGACAAGCTGGTGTTCTCTCTAAATCACAGTTGTCGTTTTGTATGGTACCATGGTCTTATCATCGGTTTCAGATCAACCCATGGTTAAAACTGTTCAATTCCCTATGCTTCCTGGCCCACCATTGATTTCAATACATCTTTACCGAACAATCATGGTTTTACGGATTTGACGCTACGCCGCTACACCTTCCCAGGTGGGGAAATCCCCAGGTCGACCTTCTCAGGGTTTCCACAGGCCGACCTTCCTTCCTCTCGTCTTCGACCATCGGTGGCTCCATCCGCCCCATCTGCCAATCGGCCGCTGGACACCCGGCCGCCTCTTGCAGCTGCACCTGGTGCAGATCGCGAACAGCGCTCGCGGGCACCGGGTTCGGTCCGTTCGCGGGCACCGGTGGTTCGGCAGACGGCCAGGGACCTTAAGACCTTCCCCATTTGGGGGGGCCAGTAGTGCACAGTCCGTTCCTAAGGACAAGCCAAGTGGAAGCCCTTTTTGGAAGCCCCATGGAAGTCGTGAGCAAAAGATTGTAAAAGTTTTTTGGGCCATCCCGAACCGATGCTCCTGGCAGCAGTTTGTTTGCCGTTTTGATCCTGACATGCTAAAAGAATCCAGTGCGTGTGCGTGTGCGGTGCTCCCAGGTCCTCCCAGGTCATGCGCATTCCAGGTCGAGGCCTTATCACCAACAACCTCACTCTATCCAGCCAAAACAAGGACTGAAGAGAACAAAGCCAATCATTGGGTTTGCTCACTCTCAAATACTCCTTCCTTAGGATCCTTAGGTTACCATGGAAAGCACCACACTCTTCAAAACATCGCGTGTTCACCACGCACTCTTTCCACGTTCGCCTCCATGGAGACCTTCGCGTGCTCCAAGCGCGGCGCTCCGCTCTCGGCAGTCACATTGTCAGCCCTCCAATCTCCAGCAGTTCGGCCCCCCAAAGTTCCAACAAGGAGGAGGAGGCCGACCGCCAGTGCCACCAGCCGGCCAGGGCCGCAAACGCCGCAAGGCGGCCGCCCACTACGGGCGGCACGGCGCCCGCGCCGTTCGGCCGCCACCAGGATCAGGGACCGTGGCGTGCCTTCGCTGCCCTGTTCGGGTCGGTGTGCTGACATGTGACATAGTTGGCGTGCGTCCCTTCAGGTCCTTTTTCCACCTCAAATGATTTCAGGGATTTCAGTGATTTCAAGTGCCCGAAGAAGGGTCCCACCGAACGATCGTCAGATCAGCAAACGCACAGAGTCCGGAAAGGCTTGGGTGAACTGGGACGTTGGGCGATGGAAAGTTCGACAGTCCTGAATCTAGCGTGTTGGTTTGGGGCAAGGCTGGTCTTCTGAAACAGGAACCTGGCCACGTGAACTGGGAGGGCGGAACGTGTTTGAACATCGTGAACTGCAGACTGTAGCACACTGTAGTTCCAAAAACCCCACACTTCGCAGCTTCATGTCCATGGAATTCGCTGTCGTCCTTTCTCCGTCTTCGTGCCGTCTTTCATCTCAACTCCACTTCGCTGTCGACCTGGTCGACCGCTACCCTCAACGGACCCACCGACCGCTTCCCCCCGACCCACGGACCGCTTCCACCGTCGCCTCAGGCTGACCGTCATCGCTCAGGCCGTTGGAGCGCAGCAGTTCATCGCACTCCATCGCGACCGACCATCGCGAGGGTCGGAGCGCGCCCGACAGCGTGGAGGTTGGATTGGCCCAGGTGCGGGGTGCAGAAGGGTATGAAAAGCCTCCGGTATGGGTACAGGTATGGGTCGTCAGTGTGGAAAAAGCTCCGACCGACGTCCAGCTCGATGATCTTTCTGTTTCATGGTCGGAAAGGACGGACTCGGGCCACCGAGTCCAGACCAATTGAAAAATGGTCGACTGGACTTCCAGGGTCTCATGTATTCGGATTGCTATGGTTCCAAGGTCTTCCCCTGCCAAGACACCTTTGCAGGTCCATGACGACGGGGGTTGCTCAAAACGGACAATGGTCATGGGAAGTGCATCAACTACTCGACTGACGGAGCTGTCGACTGGGATGATGTGGAAGTGGAGGAAGTGCCTTCAGCCTCATATCTTTATGCCATCTTCAAAGCCACAGCTACCACAGGCGCCTGTAAAGGTCAATTCAGCAACCCAGGGGGGGTCACCTCTTCAGAGGTCCCCCAGAGCTCTTGATCCGAGAACAGCGACCTCCAAAGGGGTAGGAATGTACTGCTTCCGAAGATGCTAGACTATTCAACCTAACATGAGTCATGAGTCTTAGAAGTGCACATCTATGTATAGTGTGTATATATATATATATACCCTGCGAGTCAACAACACTCAAAAGAATGGTCTGACTAGGGCACCTCGTTTCGGGAATTTCCTTCACTTCGCAAAAGAAAAAAGTAAGTAGGAACGTAAACACTAATATATATATATATATATAGTGTTTTCTTTGGTGCATCAGCAGAGATGGCACTAGTGCAAAAAACATGGAAGGCTCACCCAATGAATCTCCCAAACCCAGCGATTGTTCCTTGTTATGAGTTCTGCTGCTGTTGCCTAAACGTGGCCGGAGAATCGCGAGTCTCACACACCCGAAATGTAGCAAAAACGTCTTCGTGCGACTCGTGATCCGGACACGACTGGTGATCCGGACACATCTGCGCCACAAGGAGCAGCTGTTCCTGCTGTTTTTACGGGGCCTTCAGGAGCAGCATCAAGTTGACTGAGGGTCTTTGGTGCCAAAGAAGTCCAATCTCCCCTAGGTTGGAGGCCATCGCTAGTAGGTTGGAGGCCATCTCTATTATCCTTCCACCTCCGTCGAGTCGTTCCACCTGTCCGCCCGGTCACCAAAAGGTGCAGCCGCTTGGTCGCCCGGGGACATTCGGGGAGTAGGTCATGTCCTCTCCTTCCTCGCGCCTTGGCGCGGAGTCCCAAACTCCCCCCGCCCTTCCGTGCGAGTTGAGGGAGAACCACCACGGGCCCCCAAGATCAGTCAAAGGGGCTCGGAGCTCGCACGACCCTCCCAGCGCAACACTGTAGTACTCTGGCTCCAAAACCATGGCCACTTCTTGTAGCCTCCTGCGACCAACGGCGGTCCAAAAAAGCGGGTGTGTGGAAGACCCAAAAAAACAACGATGGTGGAGGACCCTGCCCCAGTGCATCTGTATCGCGACGGCGCGCGTTTCTTCGTGGCCAAGGTGCTAGAGCCGAGAGCTGATTCCAGGTGCAGATCTTGGCTGCACTTAGAGGACTGCAGTAATACATTAATTCACTGCATATATCTGCATATCTTATTATTGATACAAATTATGTACAATCTCATATTAGTACTGCAACTCAGTCTATTGGAGTACAGTATATTTTTGCCCATAACATCTCATAACTCCTTCGCCTATCAGATTGTAGTCATTGTAGTCATTGGCCACCTCAAAAAAACACTCAGCCATACGGAATTGCAGATGATTTTGCACGGTTGATTCCAACGCCAGCCAGTTCTTTTGAACAGGTGCCTTAAGTAGCAGGGAATCCATGTTTGCAAATGTTTACCAATTGTTTCCATGAGACCATTTGGCGGATTATCATGTGCGATCTCACATGCTTGAGCCAGCAGAAAAAATACAGTAAAGCAAAAAATATCTTTCATTGCTCTAATGCCATGTAAAGCCATGTTCCATGATTGAGGAAAACACATGACCAGCTCAGGGACAAACACACAAACACTCACAGTGTTCATTTGTGTTCATCTTCTTTTTTCGGACACAAAGCTCAGGGGCTCTGGTGCTTGTCTGCTCTTTGCATGGCAGGTGCACCATGGCAGGTCCCTTGCGAAATGCATTCACATTGAAACCTCGACTCTTCAGCACCAAGCTCTCTCTCTCTCTCTCACCCTCGACGCGATCAATTCCATGCAGCGATCTCCCTCACGTCGTCCCAGAACTCAATACTCGCCCTTCCCAGGCCCTTCGGGCGACGTCTTGTCGATCATGTTCCGAGAAGCACGGGAACCTGCAGGTCACCGGAGGGAGGAGGCCCTTGCTGCAGGAGGAACTCTCACACACGGTGTCAATGACGCCCCAACAACAAGCCCCTTTGGTCGCCAATATGAATACCCTACAAGTGCAAAGACCCAGTGAAACCTGATCCTTTATCTTGCTGAGTAATGTTTTTGTATGATCATCTATACTAAAATGAGGTCTTTGACCTGTAGGCTATAATTTATATAATACTTCTATCTTGGCATGTTGATCGATGAACAGACATGCTTCTGCGGCTCCGCAACAATTCCGAAACTTGTGTATATATATATATAATGCAGACTATAAACAATATATGTTGAAGATAGAAAAGCGTGTCTTCCCCCCTTGTCGCGCAAGTCGCGCAACATGTCGCGTCCCGCTGACCCGACCCCTTCTGCGTCCGACTCCGTCGTCTCGCGCCTCGCGCAGATCTGGAGGTTCTCGAGGAGGGAGTGGCTGTCAAGTCTTCCCCCGGCTCCATGTGCTGCGTGCGACGCGTGGAGGCCTTGGCCTGCGCGTCGGCTGTGCGTCGGCGTTTGCGGTGCCGGGCACGGCGTCCGGCACGGTAGGTGGCACGGCAGCAGTGGGTTGGAAGAATGGAGCCAAAACCAAATCCCTAGAAGTCGAACCACCATTGTTTTAATAGCCTGAATCCCGAACAACCGAGCTGTTTCACTAAGGGTTTTACACTACAAAACCAGATCGTTTCCATTTTAAAAATGGTCTTTGACTTCCAGCAAAACGAAAAGAACACAAAAGAAGACCCGACAGTGCTCATGCAACTCTTCTTGTGGCTCTAACAATCAAAGAACGTCACCCTCCACGTCCAATCTTCCAGGCTAGTCCTCACATCACAGCTTCTATACAACATGACCACCCAAAACCAAGCTGCAAGCATATCAAATCCTTAGACATGTCTCAACCCCCCTACCTTGGCCCTGCCACCCCACGCACGATGAACCGTCTTGGTTTTTTCTCGGACGAGGTCCCGGCCTTGTAAGTCTCGGATTCTCGAAGCCGGATGCCCGGGAACAAAGCTTTGTTGATGTTCGGCACCACACCACCACCAGCAATGGTGGCCTCCCGAGTGAGTTCGTTCGACCACGGTCCGTCCCACTCGCCACGCTTCGCCACGCTTCGCCACGCGTCGCCACGCGTCGCCACGCTTCGTGCACCAACAACCGGGGCCCCCTTTGTTGGGGTTGAAGCCTCTTCTTGTGGCTCTCTCGGACACGCAACATGCAGAAAAGCCTACAGAAAGCTTCTTCGTTCTGCATGCAAAACTGGCCACGGTATTCTAATAGTCCAGGTTCCTTCAAAGGTCGGCCTGGCGAGGCCCGGCTCGGTCCGGTCGCACCGCCTTCACGAGACTGGAGAGCTCTTCGTCGCCACGGATGGCGATCTGCAAATGCCGGGGAGTAATGCGCTTCAGGTGGTAGTCCTGGGACGACACATTTTTGGGCCCACCGTGCTCAACTGTAAGGAGCACGGCAAACGGACAAAGGGAGCTGAGAGAGCGTACATGAGCTGCCAGCTGAAAGCATCACAAACTTGGGCTGAAAAACGGAGAGAAACGCATCAGTCGGACAAAAAATGTTCAACAGCATGACAACAGCTCATCCCTCTTCTTTGCAATATAGATATTATGTTAGTATATATATATAGAGAGAGAGAGAGATTTTTTATGAGTCTTTGGTGTACATCTTCAAGTCTTGCTGTGCCGAACTGCTTTGGTGCTGATAGGGTGACATCTCGAATGAAAATCCAATCATACCACACTATTTTGAAATGGGAGAAATACCTTGTTTAACTGTTGAACAATCTGAACAACAAGCGTTCACAAAGACATGCAAATGAAAACCATTGGGAACACCCACTTCGGACTTGTTTGGACCGTGTCAATCACGGTCCCGTCTGCCTGGCACACGTTGCCGGCCAATTCGAGCACCTGACGTCAGCCGAGCGGAAACCGCCCCACATCGCTCCGCTTCCGTTCGAGTTGACGTGGATCAGTGGACGCGAAGGTCTGGCGTTCCGTCGGGGGTTCCGAAGACCTTCGGTCCCCGGCGAGACGTGGTCCGGTTCGGACGGGCCCGGGCTCTCCCCCCTCAAGTGTGCAGCATGATCGGGCGAATGGTTTTTTTCGCGGAGCGAGGGACAAGCGGTTCTTTCAACAAAAGCAGCAAGTCACCTTTGCCTTTTGCCTCTGCGGGGTATCCACAAACTGATTCTCAAGAACCGGCGGAGGAACTCTCACCTCGGCAGCCAAGTACTCCATCACCGCTGCTGTGAAAATGCCAGCAGAGCCACCCACTCGGCACTTGGCTGTCGCGTACCTCACTCTATGGCCATAGCGCTGTCTGACTCTGTCTGTCTAGTCTTCCCAGACTCGGATTGGGCATACAAAAGGAGTGATGCGAGAACGCGGAGTGTTAAAAGGACCAGTGTGTTTCGTGTCCGGTTCGTCTGAGAAAATCCACCCAATCCGACTGTTCGTCTTCAATGAGTTGCTACATACCTGAACTCAACGTTGCAGCTGCATCCAAGCTCGGGTGCTTGCCACCTTTTCAGGGGTGCTTTCATCTTTTGTATCGCCGAGCTAGGGCTCAAACCACCTTGGGATGTTCGCACATGGCTTTAAAGCCAAACACTCAAACCCATGGAAAGTGTACCTCATTTTTGTCCTCTTCTGAATATCCGAGCTTCGCCGATTCAGTACAATACAGGTCCAAACAGGTCCAGGTCCAGGCAGTCTTTCAAGACCACACAACCTCCCTTGAACTTGAACCCGCAGACTCATCTTCAGAACCATCACATACCTTATCACCCAAAAAAAACGCCATGGCCATAACCATCACCAAGAGCCGGGGGGCTCTCGGTGTCCAGGTCCCCGCGCGACTTGAGAAATCGATGGATCCGCGCCACCGGGAAGATGCAACCCGCGCGCCGCGAGCTCGTCGGCTTGGCCTCGCACGTGGCGACGAGGTCACTTGTGTAGCACGGATGAGCTGTTCACTGTGGCCGCGGGGGGGGGCAAAGGTGCCGTGCGGCCTATGTAGCTGATCTTCTCATGAGAGGTGGCTCTGGAGCAAGTCCAGAGCCAGTGCCCGTCCAAACACAGATTGAAATGTTGTAAAAGGAGATTCTGGTGACCTATGGAAGAGCAGTTCGGAAGAATAACACCCTGCCATGTTATCAATGAATCATATCTGTTATGTGAAGTCACTCTAAGGTCCCCCAAACACGTCAGATGTCATGTGTGCAAGGAAGCCAAATTGGCTATGGCTCAAAAAGAGCAAAACGGGAACCCACAGAGTTTCGTCCATATGTTCCATTTTCTGATGCGCATTCGCTGCATGCGCTTCTTCGTTGCGAATGCGTGCGTGCTGAGTCGCCGCATGGCAGGTCAGTTCAGGCCAGGCCGGCAGGTCAGTTCCGGTTTGTTCCATTCAATTTCTTGGTCTGACTGGTGTGAGCTTCGTGCATGGAGGGTGGAGCCACCCTCCTAGGGCATCTATAGTGGAGTGGTCATTCCCTCAAAACCCTGATCTGAGCAAACTGGAGAGACAAGTTCCTGTCAGGGTCTATGTCTTAGGGTTTACAAGCACTATGAGGGTGTCCCCTTCACTCAAAAAGCCTGACAAAGCCAATGAGAACGGAGATCATAGTTCTTTCACTATCCTGCAGTAGATCACAAAAGGCAACCCAAGGAAGATGGTGATGCCAGTGATGCCTTTAAAGGCATGATTATATATATACCATATACATCCATTTGCACTCACAAAAAGCACTCACTCACCGTCCCCGTCCCGTCACAAACCGCACAGCGCCAGCTGTCACGACCTTGCTTGTAGGATGGCCCAGAAACAATCCGCTTAGTTTGATCAAGTTTAGTCTTGGTTTTGAAGAAACAATTAAAAAAAAACAAAAACCGTTGGAATCATCCGATCAACCAGGCCTTGGACTTCTTCACTTGGCTCAGCTTCGAATTCTTTCTGCTACCTGCACCATCTGGACGGCTCGACCCCAGAGTCAGGGCACGGCTGGCTCGCTTTCGGTCTGGGCAAGGAATCGAATCGGGGCGTCTCTCGAGTACTGACCCATCTAGGATGACCCATGGATGACCGGAGCGCCTCGGTCCTTCCTCTTGTCGACAGTCACAGGAGTCACTTCACCTTCAAGGTCAGTACCATCCTTCTGACGCTTTCCAGGCTTCTTGATGCTCCTCTCAGCTTTGTCCACCTCGCAGCCACATGCCGGGGGACCAAGGCGGGACCCAGCGCTGGGCTGCTGGGAGCTCCAGCAGAAGGTGCCCGGTCTCGGCTCTCGAACGAGCCGAACAGCCCGATGATTGAGAAAGAGACGACAAACAGCCACCTTGGGATCATTCTTCTTCTCCTCTTGTTTCTTTTGATTCTCATTCTTTTTGTCCTTCTCTTCCTTGTCGGTCTTGGGCTTGTCGGACTGCCAGCGCAAGACATGGTTCTTCGGTGCAAAAAGCCGCAAGACATGCGGGAAGACATGGGAGCTTTAGTTCAAAATCTATGTGGCTCTATGGCTTTTCAATTCTGGGTGCCATGTTAGCGGAATAGAAACCCCCCCTGCCGAGAGGAAGTTCCTGGAGTTCCTGGAGCTCAATGTTTGAGCCATATATAGTTAGTCATGTCCTCTGATTCTTGATCTGTCTGTCTGAACTTTCAAGCTTTTGCTCGAACTGTAGGAATACATGAACAAGAAACTAAGCAAGACCAAAACATACCAAAAAAAAAAAAAAAAAAAAAAAACAGAGAGGGCCATCACGCACAATTGACCAGAGTAATTAGTCAACACATCTTAATTCACTTCCCCTTTCTTCTATTGCATCACCTCCCTGCTGCGCCTTCTCTTTGTTCTCTTTGTCCTTATCCTTCTTCCCTGGCTTGCGACCTCCGGTGCGTTTCAAGTTCTTGGGCTTGCCCGGCTTGCTCTTGCGAGGCTTGCTGCCGGAGGCCTTCTTGGGATTCTTCTTGCCACCGGGTTTGTTCTTGTTCTTCTGTGTCTTATCCTTGTTCTTATCCTTGGCCTCGGGTCGCGGGTCCGCGCCGACTCGGCGCCAAAGTATTTCTTCCTTTGACGGAAGTTCTGAGCCCACATGGCTGAGCCCAATCGTTCATTCCAAAAGCTGGGCCTTGGTTTTGTCCTTGTCGCCCTTATCCTTATCGCCCTTCTCCTTGTCCTCACCAAGAACAGACCATCAAAAGAACACGTCAAACGGATGACTGGTATGACAACTTCGGATGCTGGTTGAACAGGGTGTCCTGCAAAGACCTTTAGTAAAAAAGATGTCTCTTCAGTCATACTAGTTCATACTTACAAAGACCACCAGGTGGTGTAAACGTGCTCAGAAGCATCAGAAACTTAAGAAGCTTCCGAGAGACACACAACAAGTCGTGAAAAACTGGCATCGAGAGAACAAAACACAAAAACAGACTTGGTGTGTATCTATATATATATATGTATAGTCATCAAAAATCACTATGATGACCATACATTCTTCTGTACTATGAACCCTGTGGCTGCTGAGAACGTCCTTTCCGCGCTTCTGGGCCATCTTTGCGGCAAAGCCGTGCTTGCTCTGAAACTTGCTCTTCTCCTGACGCCACAGACACCCGTCGCTGTTTCTTTGCAAAGAGAACTGTAAAAAATTCAAGACTAAACATTAATGTACGCTCTTCGTATTTGTCGAATCTCCTCAAATGGGAGGGTTCCAATTCAAGAGTCTCTTATGTCCAATCCACTCCTGCCAGGGAAAATGGATTCGTGTTGGAAGCTTCGGTCTCAAAGAGCCCGCTGTCTCGGTGTGACGTCGTTCCTTTGAGGAGATGAAGCCGCTCGGTCGCCTTGTCCTTCTTCTCATCCTTCGATGGTGTTTCAAGTCCCACCTGCATATCGACAGCTCTCGGCCGGTCGGTTGAGAGCTGTTCACGGCCCGTACGGCACCCATGCGGGTCCGTCACCCGCGCGGACCTGCCATCTGTCCGCGCCCCTTTTGAGAGGTGTTCAGTGTCGGTGCCCTGCTTTTGGTGTTCAGAACAGATCGGGTCTGTCCAAGATCATCAAGACAAAACGAAAGACTCGTGGAGATGAAGCTAGATAGAGATCAAAAGTGATCCATTTTCGGGCATCCCCAAGTCTTTGAAGCACGCCAAGTTCTTTGAGGCCTTGGAAATAGGAGTAGCTTGATGCACTTCCTCTCCATCCTCTGCCAAGACCTCCTGAGAAAGAAAGTGACAGAGCTTTGAACCAAGCCATTCTTTGTAAATCATGTGTCCTCTCTGAATAGGCTAAAAATTGTTTACTCTCCGACTCACTCATCTGCAAGTGGAAACCTGTTCATAGAGCAAAATGGTCTTCCAGCGCCCTATATTCCACTTCCGTGTTAGGGAACATCTATATATATATATATAGGAAACCCATAGATGTTTGAAGTTAATTATTAAAAACCATGGTAAACCATGGTGATGTTCCCTTTCTACCATTTCCCGTAGATTGTAGATGTGTTGACCAATCCATTAAGTCATGATCGATGTACCAGATGGTGGTACCACGACCAGCCTGGACCGACTGGTCCATCTTCGGTTTGCTTCCACCACATCCAAAACAAAGAGCCAGTGGTCGCCACGAGTTTGCAATTGTAGTTGGAAAAAGGAAAGACTCCCCATGTCCCGCTTGCTCTTGGCCTTGTCTTTTCCATCTGAATCCTTGGGGAAGGGGATTCAGAACCATCAAAACGGGGGGAGGCGGTCGAGACGGCCGCCCGTGTTTCCTCCCCCCCTGTCCTCGGCGGCGCCTCCCACGGAGCTGCTCTTGTAGACTTCCGACTGGCGGGTGGTTCGCGGGTGGTTCGCACCCGCTCAACGCTGAAAAGGCGCGTTTCGGAAGGAGGGCTGTGGATGTTCTGAGACCCAAAAAGCTCCGAAACAACGTCTCTAAGATCCCAAGTCACAGTGTCAATTCATCCCTCCCTGCCCAGTATTCATCACATTTCATCACATGGCGAAGCTGCAATCTGCCTTGGTTCCTTTGGTGTCCTTCGCACCCTTGGCGCTCCCAGCTTTATCTTTCTTCTTCTTGTCCTTGTCATCCGGAGTTTCTTGCCCTGGCGCAGACAAAAAGGTCGCGAAGAAGAACCAGTGCGTAAGAAGAACGGGCGCTCCTCTTCGTTTCGGTGTTTGTGGTCCTCTTTTATTGCTTTTTGGCACCGCCAGGGCTTTCTTTCGTACTAGTAACAAGTCTTTCTTTTCGTCTAGGAAGGCTGGGGGTACAGTAGCTTCTAGCTACGAACGTAGCGATGCACGTGGTTGTTACGTACTCGTGCACAAAAATGCGCGGAACTCCGCTTCGGCCGAGGCGATCACCGCTCAAAGGTGTTGGCATCGAATCTTTACCGCCCTCCGGCGTCTTGGAGGAGATGGCGTCTTTGTCATCCTGCCGCGTCTCGGCGTGTCCAGCGGCAGCCGACGTGTCTGACGCGACGTCGCCGACGTCTCGGGTCCAGCGTTCTCGCACCACGACGTCTCCGACCTCTGGGGAACCGAAAGTGACAGAGATCTGAAGGGTTTCATGTGAAGTTGCTGGAGATACTTGGAGAACCTAGCAGCGGGAAGAAACCTGGCGCGCCAGGTTCGGAGGCAAGCGCGAACAAAAACCCCGCGCGTTTTGAGCGGCAGGTCCTTCTTGTCTGCCATCACTGGCTCCAATCAGACGAAAGGCACGCGCGTGACCAGTCGCCACCTGGCAGTCCGAGGTGAACACCACGAAGTCACCACTGCTCACATGGAAGTCACAAATACCAACAGAGTGACCGCGGACAGCCCTGATATGATGCAGAGATGCAGGTGATTTCTTGCTTGTTCTTGCGGTTGTGAGTCCTTTTGTTGATTCAACTTCTACAACTCAAAGTACGTGCCCCGGCAAACGAGCCAGCCGCACCGCTGCGACCCTAAAAAACCCTCGTAGATGTACGGCCCTTGTACCCCAACAAAGGCTTCAGCAAAAAGGAAACGGCCAAAACCAGCAGAACCGAACCGCCTCGTATACCTTGCCTGAGCTGGTCCAGATTTCGCCCAAAACGATCCTGAAGAGTTCGGGGTAGAGCCAATCACCCAAAGAAATGGCAACTAGTAGCGATGCCCTTGTTAGGTAGGAGCAAGGGCATCGCTACTAGTAGCGATTTGCTTCATGAACTTGAGCTTCTAGCGATTTGCTCCTAGTAGAAATGCACTTGAGCTTCTTGCTACTAGTAGTAGAAATGCACTTGTTACTAGTAGCGATGCATTGAGCTTCTCATCCTGCGACTCATCATGCTGCCAGAAAGATGATCCAACCAAGCGACAGAGGACGACCCGGTCCGAGGAGGTTTTCAGATTCAAAAATCCCCAGAAGTAGGAGCTGTACATTGACTTATTTGCCGTCAAAAAAGGACGACGTGCCCGCCGCCCCCCCCCAAAAAAATAAACAAATAAACATTGTCCCAACAAGGCCACGAAGTCTAGGAGTCTATGTAGCTTTGACTACAGTAAATCCATCGTTCCATGTCCCAAATCTCAGTGCCTCGCACACCTCAAGCCCCTCCACCCGGTCGGTCCCTGCTTTTTCCCACACAACGCGCGTTGCCGCGCAGCTGCATTGCGCTGCACTCACCGAGTGCGCAATGCTTCCCAGATGGCTAGACTCCCTGTCGTTAGCCATCTAACCCCACAAAAAACAACATCTCGTATGCCTGCCCTGTCAAAAGATTAGCCTGTAGAAGAACGGAACGTTTGGCAGGTGAGGGATGTACCTATCCTTTCTACCCATAGTAAACACGTTCAGATCGTCGCTTCTTCTCACGCCGCCTGAGCACACACAGTATGGAGGGGCGGTTCTGTTTGGCTGACACCTGAAGGGAAGTGTTCCAATGAATGGGCGTTAAACAAAAAAAGAGAAGCACCTCTAAACCCCTAGCCTGGCTCTTTTCTGGCATCCAGTGATACAACATGCTCTGCTATAATATCTATGAGGAAGAACGCCGTGCTTCCTCTCGTTTCGGTCTGCCGAGCCACATCTCTTCGTTTCGGCTCGGCGAGTCATAGCGCCGTCCAAATGGAAGCCTGGCGCACGGCGCGGACGGCGCGGAGTCCGGGAGGTCCGGGTTCTCCTTCAAAGCTGTACGCAGCCATGCAGCCATGAAAATGAATGGGTACTCATTCATGTTCATGCATAATCTTACTTTATCTTTCTTTCCAAGTAATTCTAGCATTATATACAAATATACAGTCATATTCCAATGAATGGTGGGTAGGGTCCAATTCGTTGGAGAGGATGTCCAAGGGACTTTTCGTTGATTGAAGTACCAACCGGATTCACACGTACCGGATTTCGCGTCTGGGACCCAGTCTGAGACAAGAGTCACTGCCAAATCAACCAGCCTTTTGAGGAACTTGTTTCCAGGTGCCAAAGGCCTGGGTGGGGGGCCACACGACATCAGTCTGAAGGCGTCCTCCTCCACAAAAAACGCACATCATGCAACAAGAACGGGTGTTGGAAGTTGCACTCCTAGTAGGAACAAGTGCCACGCTAGTAGTAACAGGTGCCTTACTAGTAGTAACAAGAAGCTACTAGGAACAAGTGCCTTACTACTAGTAACAATAAGAATTTAACTAAGCAACAAAAACATGGGAGAAACCAGAACCCACAATCTGTTGACATCCTTTTGCGCCCGACCAGCTTGAAACTTCCTTCATCACTGCAAGCCCTTTTTGATGGAATCTCAAGAAACGTTGGAACGCTCACACGGAGCTCCAAGAGACCCTATTAAAAAAAAAAAAAAAAACATAAATGTATCTCATCTGGGAGGTCTGAACACGATTTGAACCACCTGTCGAGGTGATTGCCTCAAACTTCTCGATCGAAAACCACTTGGAACCAGGCTCACTCGTGGGCTTCTCCCTGCGACGACTCTCACCCATGCTCGCCAGACTTCGCAAAACAGCGAAAAATATGACGTTGGAAGCAGCTGTTGACTAGTTCTTAACCATGGCTAAGAACTAAATGCCTCGAGAAGTTACCAGAAAGCTAAACATAGTTACCATTTAGTCGTCATTTTGGACGTTGGCTAGTTGACCAAGTAAACATTGTGACGCCGAAATGCCTCGAAAACTATGGCTCAAAGCTTCGTATTTACCAGTCGTCCTTGTTGGAGGAGAAGGCGTCGCCAGTTCCTCCTCAGAGTCACTATGTATCGAAGAAAAAAGGGTTGTTGCAAGTCCATGACGTGACGAAAATGGAGAGAAAGTGCCCCCCCTCACACCCAAAACTGGCCTGCCAGGGACATGCTTGGTCTCCATTTCCAAGCGGACCGGTGCCACCCCCGGACGCTACCGGTGGGACCGGTTGGAGTGGAAGACCGGACCTGACGTGCGAAGTGGGTGCAGCGGGTACGGTGACAGGATGTGTTCTACAGTCTTTTTTCTTCCAACTGCGGACCTCTTTGTCTGCCATGTGTAGGAAGAAATGAGTAGTACCTCTAACTGTCTTCTACACCGAATCTACCCAACTGTCACCGGCCTATAGAAACATCTTCCCAGAAATTGGGTTCCTACTGGTGGGTGCATGGCACCAGACCGACCGGGGTTGACCTACTCCGACCAGTGTTTTTTCGCGGCGGATCTCTTCGGGCCGACCAGTCGGATGAACATGGTTGGTCTGGTCACGACCCATCCGCATGTGTCGATGGCGAACAAAAAGGCGCGGGGTTCCAACCGACAGCTTGGTTGATTTCGGATCTCCTTGGGCGCTGGTGATGCCTTGGGTGGTGTCGCCGGATCAGGCAGCTTCGGAGCTCTCTCCTCCTGGTGTCGGAGGGATGTTTTCCGTAAGGCATAGGAGCTGTCCATCTCTAGATCACGGGAAAGGTTGGGGAGAACGTAGAAACGCCAGCGGCACGGACTGGCAGGCGTCTCACTGGCAGATCCAAGAATCAGAAGTATGGAAAAGAACCGTCGTGGGCCTATCCCCAAGCAGGCCCTTCTTCTTTCGTTCCGCCCCGGACATACCCGTGAACAAGAGCACGAGCAACATCTCACTGAAACCTTTGGACCACGAAGTGCCCCTGAACGGAAGTCTCGCCAAGGACGCCCGGTACGTCTTTGGAACTTAGAGGGATGTCTACTTGTCCAATGATTTGAGGCTCACTACGATGATCAATCCTTCCATGACGTTCCTCTTTTCTGGATCGTTCGGAACCCGCCCAGGCGCAGCTATCACGTCCTCAGGACGGCAGGTCTGTAGCGGACGTCCTCTCCTCCTTACATCCCGGACGATTGTCCCGCAGCCACACCTGGCCGTAAATCCGACAAAGGAGTTCAAAAGCTGTCCTGTCGAAATTATTCCAGGGAAAATCTACAGGAAACCATGGGATTCTCGACCCCAAAAACGATGGGTCTCCTGTAGATGTTCCCCTCAACAAATTCTGCGATTTTCTGAAAATGATTTTGGTCAAAAAGTAGAGCTTGAACGTTTCCTTCGCTTTCCTTCGCAGTGAGTCCCCAGCCTCTCCTCCTTGCTCTCTTAAATGACTGGTCAAAGTCGAAAGCTTTTCCACAAGCACGGGAGGAGTGCCCTTCCAAACACTCGCTTCCGCAGCCGCCAGCCACTTAGTCCCCTCAAGTTGCAGCGTGCAGGAGTCTGGAGCTGAAAAAACATGCTACAGCCTGCATCCTGCACTGCGACTCCAGGCTTGGGATTCCGGGCTTGGGATTAGGATAAGGCTTGGACATCCGGCAGGACCCTAGACCCTAAACCCTTTTTCCCAAATGCGACCAGGGCACTTTTGCGCACCCCCTGCAGCTGGGGCAAACAACCTTGCAGACTCTGCAGACTTGCAGTTCCAAACGTATTTTTTTGCACTTGGAAAGCTGGTTTTGCTGGTTGTTTGGCTGGTTTTGCTGACACTGCTACTACTGCAAGGTGCCCTGATCAAATCCTTCTAAGTCTGGATGCCCGAGCCCCGAGCTACGCATACCATTAGCTACGCAGCTACGCATTTTCTTCACATGATTTCCACAGCTCATCCACCCCACGCGCAAAATCTGCGTTTGCTTTGCGCCACTGAGCAGTCCCGGCCCCAGATGGTGTAGCGTCATTAGGGCTCGTTGGAAGCGATGCTTCAGCCCCTCCGGCGGAAAGGGTCACAAGGAACTGCACGAAAGATTCTGAGAGGACCATCTGGAGGAGTGGAACTAGGACTGCTCCACCCTGCTGACACTGAGAAGTGGATCCAAAAGAAACTGAATGCAACCGCATTCAATAAGGCAAAAACCCTCCGGCCACTGTTGAAACCCTTTGAAACCCGCCGCGAAACCCGCCGCTGACGCCTGAAGATCCTTCTCCTTCTCCTTCTCTGCAGGGTTTCGTGTCTTCAGGGCCTGAAGCCAGACTCGAAACCTGCACATCGCCTCCTCAACCCAGCCAGAACACAGCCACTTGGCATGCTTTCTCGCATCCTGTCACACCATGCAAACACTCTAGTTGAGTCAGTCCATCCACACCCGGTGGACGTCGCGCGACCGACCTGCCAGGACCCCAAACCGCGTCAGACTCACCGTAAGACTCAGCTGGGGACGGTCACTTCAGCTGCATTGAAGGGGCTCACCAGCTGAGCAAAGCTCAACCAAAGCTCAGCCACTTTGATCTGCCTCCCGGAAGAAGACTCCAACAGCCTGAGGCAGATGACCAGTGCGTGTTTTGCGTGGCAACTTCTTTTTCTGCGCGAGACAACAACAGCTTTTGGCGAAAAAAGGACCGCTGCTGGAAATGGCTTTGGGGTGCATAACGTGAAGAAGGTTCAACCATTCTCTACATTCGTCAGTTGCTTCGCTGATCTTGGATTGCACTGGCTTGCATCATCCAATTCAAGCTCTTTAAAAAGAAACAGACACCCCTTGAGAACTCGTTCGCTGCTCCCCTCCCTTGCTCGGCTGCTTGCTGGAAGACCAGCGCAGCATCTGC